CTTTTTTTGTTCATCCCATCAAGACAAAGAGAAATCGTTGGATGAACTAGCTCGACATGGAATGCATACTCTTCCATGTCATCTTATTCCACCTCTTGTTCCACAGAACCTAAACTAAAATGTAAATTACTTAGATTATACTTCTGATTTTTTTAGACGCAACTTTGACAAACCAGGTGTAAGTATTAATTTTATAGTCTACTCGCTGTATATTTATATGTTTCTGTACATAATCTTCTTTATGCCTTCCATATGATAATAGTGCAAATTTAAAACCAAGTTTCCCGCAGCTCTGTTGTTTTTCAGATTGAATGAAAACCAAGAATGAGTATTGTTGTAAATATGTCATTTATTAATGACACAAATGAAACACATGAAATTTGGGAGATCCTATGACTTTCTACAATTTGTATCTACACCTTGTTATGGATCTCCCAAAATTTAAAATAACATCATGACAATACTCAAAAAACACAAATATATCAAATATTTAAGCTGAAAAATAAGGTGGCAACAAACAATAGGCCACGAGACAAAAGAAATTATCAACATACATCCCAAAGTAAAGTTTAACCTAAGGGACGGTTGTACAGGGTGGCGGAGGGTATGTTTTTCTTACAAAAATGGTGTGTACAAACACTTGCAGCATCCACCAGCGATAACAATCACGTGATATCTCTGACGTTAGCTAACGACTAATCAACGCAAAGCCCCAAAACCTGAGACTATGCACTACATAACGTCCTATCTCTGAAACCTGAGATATTCATAAAATATACTACAATCACTACATTCTAACCACAGAAATGGAAAATTACATATGCATGCATAAAACATATTATTATCAATAATATTACATTATGCCTTCCATATGATAATAGTGCAAATTTAAAACCAAGTTTCCCGCAGCTCTGTTATTTTTCAGATTGAATGAAAACCAAGAATGAGTATTGTTGTAAATATGTTATGTTTTTCTTACAAAAAATGGTGTGTACAAACACTTGCAGCATCCACCAGCGATAACAATCACGTGATATCTCTGACGTTAGCTAACGGCTAATCAACGCAAAGCTCCAAAACCTGAGACTATGCACTACATAACGTCCTATCTCTGAAACCTGAGATATTCATAAAATATACTACAATCACTACATTCTAACCACAGAAATGGAAAATTACATCTGCATGCATAAAACATATAAGTATCAATAATATTACAGTCTGTATGAATATTTTCAGGACCACAATGTAAACTAGTTGTAAACTAATTGTGCCATCCTGCATAAATAAAGGATATTATTATGATGATGATGATGATGATGATGATGATGATTATTATTATTATCATAACCCAGTTCCTCTGCTGACTGTTTGAAATCGACTTTTGAGCATTATTTTTGTTCTTTATCTTCACATTTAATAGGTTATACCTTCAGATGTTTTTTTTTTCAATCATGGGAAGGAGCTAGTAGACCAAGAGGTGTAAAAAGAAATTAGATACTTTCTTTTGTTTCGTTATATATTCTTGTAGATTGTTTTTTTTAATTTAAGGACGTGTGCTTTTATAAGTAATAAGGGTTTATTTGTCAAAAAAACTTTCTTGATAATATCTAAAGTCTTAAACTTGTAGAAACGTTCATTAGAAGTGTATGTTTACATGAAATGCAGTATAGCCAAAGATAAATCAATTTGAAAAGTCTCAAAGTGTAAAACAAAAACTCATAAATCATTTAAAACTCATTTAAATGAGACTTAAGTATCTGTTCACATCGAATTATGTCAAGTTGGATGTTTTGCTCCCACGCATGGATTAAACTTTTAAAAGTAAATGATTATCTGATTTGTCTTTTGGAAAATAAAGTCACTTAGAACATTTCTTCAACAAATTTCTCAATTAAAGGGTTGTATGTATTTCAGGTAAATATCTTTATGGTCCGAAGTGCAACAGATCCAAGTTTTATGAAGGATGTACATGTACATAATAATCTAATTGAATAATTTCGTTTTAAATCATTGCCATTTGCGATTTAGTCAATTTAGGAACTATGTTTTTATGTTTTCTATAATCAAAAAAAAAAAAAAAAAAAAAAAAAAAAAGAATATTAAAGTCACACTGAAAAATTGTAATAAAATTCCATCTCAACTTCACTTCTGCTAAAACATATACTTATCTAAAAAGAATACATTGTAAATATAAAGTTTTAACAAAGATGAATAGGACGTTTCTAAATGACCTCAGTTACTTACAGTGTTCGTCTTGTGGAAGAAATACAGTCAATTCTCGAATTATCGCCATCCGATTCATCGCCATTTTCGCAATACCGCCATGATTTCCAAAGAACGTTTTTCCTGCTATATAAAATTCTCTTTATAACGCCAAATTCGCATACCGCCATCCGCTACCCTGTTTTCAAAACAAACGTCCATTTTTAAGTGTCAGTTATCTCGATATACCGCCACAGGTGCGTGCGGTCAGTGAAGCGCAGCTAATTGGTTGATGCTATCCCTGTTGTAAAGCATGCAAAGCCAGACAAGGTATACGCAATTAAATAATTAAATTAAAATTAAATGAACAAATAATTTTAATATGAACTGTTACAATGATGTTGGTCTGTTGTTTTGTTTAAAAAATCAATTACTCACGACTTTGCCACTAAAGGGGTAGTTGTGAAAGTACGCCGAATACAAAATTATTTTGATGATCTCTGCTTTAAACAATGCAAAGTCTGTCTAAAAATAATTATACGGTATAAATTGTGAACGTTTCACTAACAATGATGCCATAAACAATAAATTTATTCAAGAAACCATTTTACGTACTGTCAGCAATATATCACGACGATCGACCCAGCATGTTTTTTTTTCAATATCAGACGTGCCGATTTACATGTACATAGATGCACATGTACTTGTCTTTATTTCATAACTGCACATGTTGTTTTAAAGAAATTGTACATAAAAAATTACTTTCTTAAAATTTAGAAATATGTTTTATATACATGTACATTTAATTATAAGAATAGAAACGCTTTATGGTATTTCTAAGAACGGTAACTCTACTTCTTGTTTCCTAAAAGATGGGAAATTCAATTCATCGCCAAATTCGTTATACCGCCATGATTTCTAAATCACAAAAGGTGGCGGTTTATCGAGAATTAACTGTATGCTCAAAATAGTCTTAAATCTTTTTCTACTTTATTTGGTTTTTCATATAATTAAATAGGCATAAAATATTTTTGCTCCGACAAAAAAACATCTGCCATTCTGTAAAGAAATATATTTGAATAGGCCTTGTGAGTTAATATTTTTTCATCTTTGTTATCAACATTTATTTACATGTATGCTAAAATAATCATAAACCTTTAATTCCTAAGAAGAATATTTTGCTATCATAACACCCCTCAAATTGAATAATTTGATAAAAAAAACAAAACAAACCAAAACCAAATTAAGATAGTCATTAAACCCTAAATATTAGGTAGAGGATATTATCCAAACAACGTATGCTTCGACTATTTATAATGAATACGCAAAATCATAAAATCAAATTTTCACTATTCGTCATATGGCACTAGCTTCCCTTTTTTCCATAAAAAACAACCTTTAAAAAAAAGACACATTACGTCGACGTTTTATTTGCGCCTTCACAATTTCCTTATCTCTTTTTCTCGTAAAAATTGACGACTTATGAATGTTCATTTTGAAGAAGATTTTCATCGATGAGATGATAATGCTCCTCCTCATCCTCTAATGGGTTGTGATAATCATCGTGAGTCTGGAGACTATCTGTGGAATGTGTTACGTCCAAGTATCCATCACCCATGTTTGAATTACTCTCATCTGTTCCCTTGAAGCTGCTGATAGACCCCAATGCCGTGGGCAATGGGGCATCAGATAAATCTAACCTTAAATTGTAAGGCCGTTTCTTTAACAGTGGAACTTTTATGATGATCAAAATAATTTTTAAAAATTTTAAAACATCTTGAAACGTAATTATTTTTTCCCTACTTGCTTGAAAACAAAGAAATTATCTCATCAACATGTGGTCGACTGGTTCTGTCGAGATCCCAGCATTTTAACATTACTTCATCATACAACCATCTTGGACATAGATCCGGTTTTTCAGGAACCTGTCCCTCATTCAAATGTTCCAACAGCTGTATATCAAACCAAACATTTTAAGCAAGAATTTTATGAACATTTTCTATAGATGATGAACGTACGAACCATATTGTACCTTGAAATATTTAATCCAAAAATATATATCAAGTTAATAAAAACACTTAGAGACGATTTTGTTAAGATATTGAAAAATGTTGACATATATTTTAACAAATAAGGGGGCATCGGTACACTGTAATTGTAATGTAGTCTTTATAAGGGAGAAAGATGTGGACTATCCGGAAGTTTTATTTTTCTGTACTAGTTTTAGAAATTTTATCTGTTACACTAACCTTGGATTTGTGTTTGTTGCCAAATGGTACACAATCTAGACGTTCTCGACCAGAGAGGACGGAGAAAACTTCATAGAAAAGCATTGCCATTGTGTAAACATCACTGCCACACGATAGTTCGTTGTGTCCGATCACTTCCTTGGGAAGCCTTAAAAATTACTTATGAATGCTTTACTTAATTTCACGTTGACAAATGATTCAGGAAATATTGTATTTTGCTTAAATTAACTTATAGGTCAATGACATTGATTCATGTTGAAAAAGTAGGGAATTTTTTTAGTTAAGATTAAGATTTTTTATCAACTTTTTGGAGAAGAGGCCATTTTACCAATAAAGCATATCCTGAAGATCCTGATTGACTATAATACTATATTCTTGGATATTACATTCTTGTGGCAAGCTTTGCATCCTACCAATTCTAATCATAAGTGCCTAAAAATAAAAATTTTCTATATTCCTGAGTAGAAATTAAAGCATGAAATATATGGAGATTGATCTGATATAATTGTTATCTTTTACAAAAATTAATAATGACAAGTGCTTTATTTATTCAAAATTGCAATTTTGGAATACCCTTGGCATGTCTTGCTTGTCAACAATAAAAACATATTTGCCAGTCAAGTCTACCATTAACCACTTCATGCTGTGGATTTGTTTCACATGCTTGACAACCGCAAACAACAATCGTAAAAGAGTGTTTACGTTTTCCTCTTTTGAATTCTTCGACATTTCTTCAGCTATACACAGAATGTTGGAACTTGAAGGAAACGTATATTGCTGAAACAAAAATTATATTGCTATCTTTAATGTAGACTTGCTATTTAAAGTATGTATGTATTAATGCACTCTTTCATACTTTTTAATAATGTCAAACATATATATACTAGTAGATGTTTTATATGTTTGATAACATATAACTATGGTAGAGAGAAGAAAAGCAATACAACATGAAGAAATTATTTTAAAATATACATCTATATATAAAAAAATAAACAATAAAAACATAGAGATTTGAGCATATTTGATCGAGACGTAATTCGATATGAAATAGAGAATAAAAATAAAACGTCTAACGATGATCATTTTTGCATCCGCGCTTGATGAACATCGTCGAATTTTCTTTACTGCACATTCTTTTAAACCCAAACTTTCAGCCAACGTTCCACTTAATTTTGGTAACATTTGATTATAAAAGGTATCAGATACCAGTTCTTCAACGGTGATGCAATTTATCTATTAATAAATAAATAAATAAATGTTAATGGTGTTATAAAAATAATTTTATTACAATCATTTCAATGATTGATTCGGCAAAGGGTTTGAGACAAAATTTACCTCGTTTGTTATCTTGAATTCTTCTCCCGACTCAAGGTCTTCTTTTCGCAAACTAAAATCCAAATATTTGTTCATGCCGTACATACTTGACCTCAAATCATTGAAACAAGTCCCAAATGCTTCTAAAATCATAAATCATGATGCAAACGTATCAAAATAGAAATTTTTAAAACTAATTGTTGGATAACCGTAATACAGTGAAAATTGCTGTCGAAAAGCAGGAGAAAATATTGCACTGATTATGGACAGAATTATCTTTTGTTTTGCAATTTTACAAAATGAAAAACAAGCTACAATACTAAAATTGAATAGATTTATAGAGCAGGCACGTAGCAACGGGTGGGGGGGGGGCTCCCCACTTTTCTCTAAACATTACTTTTACTATTGGAAATGTTCATTGAAAGGCTGATTGCCCCCCCCCCCCGACTTGATACTACAGGAAACTGATATCAGGGAATTATGCATGTAGTATTGAATGCAACAAAAAAAAAATGGTACTGAAAGAAGTTGGATTTTCGAGTTTGGGCAATTTTCCTTTCTCTTTCTTTCTTTTTTTTAATTGCTTGTCAACTTTTTCAGGTAAGTCAAAACAAAAATTTTCACTGGCTGCCCCACCCCTTTCAAAAACAAAGCTACGTTCCTTTAGGACACTGAATATGGTTTTAGGGCCTTAAATTTGATGTGTAAAATATCAGTTCCTTTTCGCTATAAATTTTTTGGCGAATCCAATATATACCCCAGTTTTAGTGCATGGAATGACATGCATTTTTTACACACAGAACATTTTTTGTTTTTCTATGAATGTATTTCAAGACCAAAAAGGTATTAAATATCATTACTAACATTGAAAACGATAGGGCATTATCTTTTCAAGGTTTTTTTTAAAGGGGCATGGACACAGTTTCAGCTAAAATTCAAAATTATTTTTCCATTTTTACAAATATTTAACTAGGGTCTTTCTAATGATCATCAAAAAATTGAACGCCAGTTGTCCAGATACAAGACAGATTTAGAGCTCCAAACCTTTGTTGTGTAAACAAGGCTAGTGTCATGTTTTTCTTTATATAGGTTAATATACTAATATACTGTAGATTCCTTATTTTTCGCGAGTACTTTTTATCACGAATGGACTCTTCAACAGCAAATCACGAGAATAAGAATTCGCGAATGGACGGATGATCAAGAGTTTTAACATAGATCTCAGCACCATAAAAATAAAAGCGGGTAATTTAATTCGCGTGTGGTACTTCACGCGAAATTACGCGATAATTAATTCCACGCGTATATCTACTAGTATGTTCATTTAAAGTAGATAATTTCAAATAAAAGTTAATTTTAAATACGTTTCGACAAATACCATTGATTTGCTGAACTTCATTTTGTTATAAATATGATATTTTCTATATGTAAGGCACGAGCCTTGTTTACATTATGAAGAACTTTAAGTTCTGTATCTTGTTTGTTAATCAACAAATGATGTTCAAATTTTTGCTAATCAATAGATGATGCTTTAGGTAGGAGTTGTAAACATTAAAATTTGTTTTAAAAATTAGTTTAAACTGTGTCCAGGCCCCTTTAATACATAAAATCGTTAATGCGAGAGACAAAATATTCATACCTGCGTTTTTGATTGTTTTTTCTCGCAGCAAGTTGATCACATTTGGAATTCCCTATTAATATATTTTCTTTTTTATCAACATAAAGCCATCATTTTATTTCAATCAGTTTTCATCATTTTTTATTTATCGATACAATATAAGATTTTCCTCACGTTTATTATACAAAAACATACTCTTTCTGGTTTGTGTTCCCTCTTTAGTTGTTTATCCCCGATATGTGGTACAGTATAACTGCCAATATCTGTAATAAATAAATTTGTAATGTCATATTCAAAGCAGGAATATATTTTGTTTATTCATGTTACTAGTGAGCCTCGTTCATCCTGAAACCAATAATTCGAATATACAACATTCTGTACGAGATTTGTTGCATACAGAATCCATCTGTTATATTCCGTACGTCGCAGAAATTCGACAAATTCGCTTCAAAATACAAACATCTGGATTCACACATATGGCAACAATAGAGATATCTCTTTTTGTAAGAAAGATATCTATTCTACTTAGAGAGGTAACTTTATAAGCTAGAGAGAGATATCTTTAAGCGAGAGAGATATCTCTTAAAGCTAGAGAGATATCTCTTTAACAAGGTTAAAAGAGATAAATTTCTTAGTTAGAGAGACAACTCTCTAGATTTTCAAAAAGAGATATCTTTCCATGCTAAAGAGATATCTCTTTTAATGAAGGAGATGTCTCTTGTCCAGTTATCCTTAAAATAAAATAATTATTTCTCTCCCTATAAAACGAAAGCGAAACCGGAAGCAAAGTCTCTGAAATAATATTGCTGCTATAAGAAAAAAAGACATCATGCAAAACCCAGAATAATATATGTACTATGTAGACAAAAATGCTATAAATCCCTTGTTTGAAACAACAAATAATAATGGCAACATCGTTGATAAAAATGTTAAAAGTTTAATATTCAGGAAAACGAACGTAAGCATAAAATCTGAAATGCAATGGACCGAATTTTCTCAGCTTTGAAATCTAGAAAACACTGAATTACCTGTCATGTTTAAGTAAAGCTTTAATGTAGAATATCATGAATATGTCGAAATTTAAAAATACTTTTATGTACTACCGTAATTCTGTGAAAAAAAGCTTACTTCCGGTAAAGGGAGAAGTCATTTCAAATGGAATTTAAATAAAATTAAGGAAGATAGATATCTCTTTGCAGTGAAGAGATATCCTTTTTGCTTGTGAGATATCTCTTTTAGACACTTTTGAAATATATCTCTTTCACTTTGAGAGAAGATATATCTCTTAAGATGAATTAAGAGGGACACATCTCTTTTACATTAAGAGATATCTTTCTAACTTAAAAAGATATCTCCAAAAGTAAAAGAAATATCTCTAGGTGAAAGATATATCTCTTTCACGTTCAAAGATATCTCTTTTCACAAGAATCTCTCAAGGAGAAAGAGATATCTTTTCAAGTGGAAGAGATATCTTTCTTATAAAAAGGGAAATCTCTCTAAGTATTAGAGATACCTCTCTAAGTTTAAGAGATATCTTTTTCTCATATAGATATCTCTTAAAAATGAAAGATATTTCTTTAAGTTTGGAGATATCTGTATTTTCAAGAGACATCTCTCTAAAATGAGAGAAATCTCTATAATTTTTAGATTTTTATTTTACGAATAAATAGCAAAAGGGCTTGCATACACACAGCTAAGTTGTACATGAACTCGTAATGAACTACTTTTTTGTAACAAAAAATAAATTAAGAATAAATTTAAAAAACAGAATTTTTGAAGAATAATTACCCAAGCTTCCCCGAGACGATTGGTCTCTTCGTAATGTTTGTATCTCTTTTTCAACTACGTGCATGGGCGGTCTCTTTTCAGGATGTATATCGTAACAGTGTGTTGAAAGAATGTGAAATGAATGTGGTATGCATTTCCATTTGTAGGGCTTGATTTTCTGTGCAACAACCTGATGTAAAAGCAAACAACTTAATCAATATGATAATAAAATACTGATGCAAAATATAGAAAATAATAAAGAACAAAATTATTCAAATAATTTTATAGATATGATACCCTTATGATCACATCTTCCGTGTTTTCGCTGTAAAGTTCTGTATATGGTTCACAACCGTATGTGAACATCTCATGTATGGTATGACCAAACATCCAGACATCTGTTTTTAAATCATACTTTCCATGTAGTATAGACTCCGGAGCCGACCATCGGATAGGTATCCAATCCCCACTGATGACTGTAAAATTTTATTTAAGCATTATTGAAAAAATCCTACTGGAATTCATAAAGATACTTAAGATTTATGCTTAGATACATACTTAAGTATAAATAAATTCTTAGTTAAGAAAAAATTCCTAAGTCATATTCATATAAAATCTAAGTGTAATTCTTAGCTAACTTTAATTCTAGATAATTTAATTTTAGTTTTACCACGTCATTTGATTGGTTAAACGGTTTTATCCATTTTGTATAACATAACTTGCCTACGTCACAATGAGTTACGTCAAAAAATATTACTCCTCTTGATGTTAACTTTTAAAATGTGCGATATTTGAAGTCTGAAGGGAATTTGAAGGAAAAATTGTCTCATTGTCTACATTGTAATTATATTATAAGGAATGAAGGTTATTTCAACTTATGTTATACGATATAACATAACATGGGGCAGTTTACGACTTTTTTTAACCGCTTCGCTTTATTAAGCGTAAACTGCCCCAAGTTATGTTATATCGTATAACAAAAGTTGAAATAAGCTGTATTCCTTTAGAAAATTAAAGCACATAAGGTAAGTCACCATAGCAGCGCATGGAAAAATTCCCGAACAAAAAGTGCACTCTTGTGTGAAGGAGGTATTTAGTTCTATGTGTATTACATCACAACTAATATGTAAAGCTATGCCATAGACATTGCATATTTGCATCTTGCCAGTTGATTAATATCACAAAGTCAAAAAAAGTTCCTAATTGTTAGATGTTATAGCATGGTTTCTTAATAAAAGATTATAATTTCTTCTGTTTACCCTTATTTTTATATTGATAATGGAAAATTAAGAAATTCTTATCTACTTAAGACACCTCCCGAGGACACTTAACTTTAAGTCAATACATCAGCACTAAGTATGTTTATGAATTACACTTAAGTATTTCTGCCAAATTTAAGTAAAACTTAGGGAAGTTAAGTAAAAAAACATGACTTAAGGTCAAGATCTAGTAAAAAACTTGAGACTAATTTTTTGGTGCTAGATCCATTATGACGTCATAATCAATTTCAATTTTCTTTTTCCCGTACTTTACGGCTTTAGCAGAATTATGTAGAAAATGGGGTATTCTTATGTCATTCAATTTGAAATCATATGAAAAGTAAACCGGATACCTATATTAAATTTGATATTGATTTAAAGAAGAGGCCATGAGCATATTAATTACCGTTTTCTGAGAGACTGTAGGCAATCTGTATGCATTTCCTTTGCCAAATACGAAAAAAAACTCCCATATTCATGACTGGTTTTCTTAATTTTTCATTGAAAATGACAGTTTAAAATACAGTTTTTCATCTTGTTTACCTACAAATTATGCCCCGAAACACCTTATTTGACCAAGCTAAAGTTGTAAAGCATCAATAAAGGAATTTATTTCTCAAGTTTGATAAATCTGTAGGCACCTTTCATTTACTAGATCTTGACCTTAAGTGATTTTTCAAACTTAAGAATATACTAAGAAGTTTTATGAATTCCACCAATGAACGGCGTATACTGCAGTGTTTTTATTTCAGAAGCATCTGGAAGAACCACTGATAACCCCACACACCACGATGTCTACATAAGTACTTCCTTTTTTATTAGCAATATTTATAAATATTTCAATTTCATTTGGAGTAATTGCTATAAATTAGAAATGACGAAAACCATATACTGGATCTTTCCTGTCCTCACGCAACATTTATTAACCAATGATTCTCGATAAATTTACTACTGGTTTGTTATGGGATTTTTTTTTATTTCTTTACCTGAAATATGCGTGCTAGAAGAGGCGTCTGTCGTGCTGTGAGCAAGCTCCAACTTTTGTAACACAGCCATGCATTTTCCCGAGGTCAGACACGTTTTCAAACAGAACGAATGTAATGTAATATCGCGATGCACAATGCGGTGTGAATGCAGATAGGTAAAACAGCTCGCCATCTCTTGCAAGCGTTCGTACATCCATGATCTAGGAAGCCACTTGTGGGACCTTCTTGCTTCCAACAGCCTTTCCAACAAGCCTTGAGGATGATTTTCAACCACATAAAATGGCAACGGCAAGCTAGAGGAACCGTAGGCCAAAAGTTTCGCAATTGAATTACATGTATGCCTATAATCTTTCTGCATAGAGAGCAAAATTTCAAACTCATTGGTTTTGCGCATATGTTTAGACTTTGCTTCTTCAGTATGAATATTAGTTTTTAGGCTGGAAATATCTGGAATCAGGATTGATATCGTGACATTAAAATGATACAATCTTCCCCCACATATCGACCAGTAATTCCTTTCATCTGTCTTGGAAAAGATTTCCCTATCTTTGTCATGTACATGCAGACCCGGCACTGTATTCTTAATATTGGCTTCTGCTAATTCTCGAATCTTTGTTTCTGATAAATCTAAAGCTTTTACAACCAACTGCAAGACTGGATGACCAAGAGTAAAAAGAAGATCGTGAACTTCGTCTGGAATTGGCAGGAAAGACCATTTTGCATGGAAACCTTGGGAAGATACCTTTAATACTTCTAAGAGAGTCTGGAAATCTTCACTTTTTTCATCAACTAAACAAAAGGAATGAGAGTAAGCATAAACCCAAGGAATATTTTCTTTAAATGGTGGAAACACACTTGATTTTATAAAGCCAATAGTATATATATCAAAAGCTAACCGGTTCAAATTTTCCGAAATTGTAAACAGTATTTAACATTAACGACTAAGATAAAACCTTTGTTGAATACATCGGCTACTCCAGTTAGGAGTAGTTCTGTAAGAGGATGAAATAACTCTTCATGCCACTTCCTCTCCAAAAGACGATGCGGACAACAGTATGTTGCTCGAAGAAACTGCATAAAGTTGCAGAGAAACAACGATGGACTGCTAGCCATCTAAAAACCAATTAAACAACTTATTAAAAACTGCCATTAGCTACTGATATTTTTAATATTCTTTCAAACTTTTTATTTTTTATGAGGAAAATCGTAGAACCATTTAGAATCATTTCTATACTTAATTAAATATGTTTTTTTTTGTTGGGAATATTGAGTATTATATTTACAACGTTGTTAAATATTCAATCTCATTCTAATTCTACTGTCTCCGTGTTATTAATATTTCAATAAAACAACAAAATTACATTTTTTGCTAACTTGGAAGCTTATCTATTCCACTCACTCCCTCAAGAATAGCAGTTAACTTCGACTACGTCTTGTATGCAAATAATTGATCCACGATTGGCACAGGATAGTGGTTTTACTTACAAACCATGGTACTTTAGAAGAGTAAAGTTACTCATTGTTGAAATTTTGACATACCCGTAGCTTTTATTGCCACAGTTAGAATGCATTTAAATTATACCTTTGAAATCAATCCAAATGCAACAATGTATTGCTCGTGTATCCTTAAAGCTTTGCTAAATCCTTTTCACTGTCTTTTGTTGAAAAGGCATCTTCCCAATTTCCAAGAATTTTTATCAGAGTATCACTCATTTTAAATTTTTCAAATTTTG